AATAACATACTTTGTACATCTAAAATGTTGAAACATGCCACAAACTGCACAGTTTCATATCAGCAATCTAAAACTTAACACAAGACTGAAACTTACCGTACAGTCCTCCGCCATTGTAAATAGTGGTTTGTCCCCGCCCATAAACTTCCGTCCAGAAGCTGGTGGTCTAGAAGTGGTGGCCTAGAAGTGGCGGTGGTGCGGCGCTGCAATTGGACATTTCTCGTTTGGCCACATGGCTCAACGCATTGAGCATGTGTCTGCCTATGATCCCTTTGAATCCAGCCTCCTCTGTTTTTGAGGTTTCGTAGATTTTGTTCCCTTGTGTTTCAATTGTATCAGTTTTCTGTGTTTAATTTGTATAAATATATACAATATATACATATATAAATATATACATAAACATGTAAACTGTCACGCCCAGCTCCGTCCGATCCTAATGTGTGCCACGCCCACCTCGTCACCTCGTGTTCATCCCTGATTGTTCTCACCTGTTGCCTGTTCCGTTTGCCTAGTCTTGTGCATGTAGTGTCCCTGGATGTCTCTGCTAGTTTGATTCTTGCCTATTAAACCCCTGATTACCCGTGAGTACGGCTTGCTCTCCTGCTTCCCTGCTCACCTGCCTGCCGAAACGTGGCATAAACATTTGAGTTGTCCTGTACGTTGCTCTAGAAATAACATTTTTTTTTAAATGTATTGAATAACAAGCATGGTGAGCAATAATAGAAAATATGTTTTTAAATCATGGACAGCTGCATTGCATGCAAACGTTAAACATAAAGCCTCTGGGATGTCAGGGTAATATAAAAAAGGTTTTAGGACATTACTAAATCCTCACAGAGCAAGTCAGCAGCAAGTTCATATTTGGACATGTCATATTCAACTGCATCATCCAAAGTCTTGTTCTCCCCCCAGTAACATAACATAACTACCACCTCCCTTTTTCTTCAATTTCTCAATTTTTCCAGAAAAAAACATTTTTACTTCTTTTTCTTGGTCATACCAAATGTGGCAAATATGACGCCCTACAACTTTCACAAATAAAATGTTATCAGCTTCAAGCAAAGTGTTCTTATCTAAATAACTGAACTCTTTAAATATATCAATATGAGGATTTTTCAATTTCTTTTCAACTTTTTTCTTTCTAATGTCTGTTTCTGCTGAGATTTAGCAGCTATTCTTCGCATTATTTCTTCTTTAATTTCAGAAGCTGTTTTCCTGTTTGTCTGTCTTTGCTTTCTAGCATATGACAAAGAAAATAAAAGTAATTTTTCCCGCTTTTCAGGATCAAGGCTGTCGAGGTAGTCACCAGTTTTATTTTTCTGTGCCCTTATTTTTGAAGATATAAAGCAAAGGGTAGAGTGAGGGGCACGCGCTTTAGCGGCAGAAAACATCCCCATCACTTCCTCGGCATCAATGTTGTGGCACCTAGAGGATTCAGTTTCTTTAACTAAAACATCAGTGATGTCTAAACTAAAATATCGCTGATATTGCTTTTCAAGCACATTAACAATTTTTGATAGGCACCCACTCATCATGGTAGAAAACATAGAAATGTCAGATGGTTCTACCTGAAGTTTCTGAGTACTTGTGTTTGTTTTCAACAAATCTTTGTCAAAAAAATCTTTGTCTGTATTCAATGTTTCCAGAGGGGTATCAACAAACTGTTTTATTTTATCAACAACTTTTTAAATTACTTTGATACCATCAACATGACTTGTAGTTTGGGTAGTAGCAGAGGTGTAAAAAGTGGACATCCATGGGCCAGATAATAATTTGCCAATAAGGCCTAAAATTTGCATTTCCACCCTTGCAGTTGTTGAGGAAAAATCTTTTAATATGGCTTCTTGCAAGCCACCACATGAGACAGTTCCTGTCTTAAAAAAGTTCAAAAAAACATCATAATTACAAGTGAGTTGCTCGCAAATATTAAATAAAATGTGAAGTCTGTTACCCCTGTATCTTGGTATAAGACCTTTGGGTAAACCAGACCTTTCTAAAAATGAAATAAACCCTTTGGGATCTCCTTCTCCATCTTTATATCTAAATTTGTTGACTGCCAGCACAATGTTGGCAGCAACACAGTCTGAACCAAGAAGACTTCCTTTGACAGATTCAAGCCCTTTAAGGGTTGAACGACAAGATCTGGCGACTGTTTCCAAAGGATGCAAATGGCAATTTAATTCATTAAAGGAAACACCCCAAGCTGCTTCTAATAAAGATATTGTGGAATGGTTAACTGCGACACGATCAGTTAAAGTGTTTTTGACATTGTAAATTAAACGCTGTTGAATATTTTCAAATTCACAGTCATAAAAGGCAGAATATGCTGAAGCAATGCAATGAAAAGACTCTTCTATATGTAATTTATAATCTTCTGCAGTGCCACCAGGCAAGAGGGCCAATGATATAATCAAACAATCACTTGGGCTTGTTACATGAATTTCATTAACATGCATACCTTCTTGGGTAGTTGCATCAAATCCCAAAGTAAGATCTGAATGATTTAAAATAAATTCAGCAACCTGAACATCAGAAATAACCCCAAGTTCCCGAACCATTTGTTCGACAGTTGATCTGTGGGGAACAGAGGTGACAGTAAGACCTGATCGTTGTGCAAATTTCTGGATCAAAACAGGTACATTTTTGGTTGGCACATTGTTTAAAATACTGTCGTAAACAAACATTCTCAATTCAAATGTAAATGTGTTCCCTTCTTTCTGAAAAATGTTGCTCCGATTGTCTTTCATTAATGCAATTTCTTCCTCCAAAACAGGTTTTTCATTTTCAAAATCTCTGATTTTTTCACCCTGTTCTTTAACCTTTTCTTTTAGTTGCACAACAAGATCAGGTGCACTGGTGCTACTGTTATTCCTACTATGAAAACGTTTGCATTTATAATAATGTTTTAACAATTTGTGTCTTTTCTTTTCCTTAGCCAATTCAACCTTTAATTTGTCTACTTCAGGCAACTGATTAGTCTTCAGTTCCTTTCCTAACATGTTAATAATAGCATTTTTCTTTGAAATGGTTGCCTTTTTTTGTTTAATGTCTTGATTAAGACGTTTCACACAAGAAGAACTTAAAGTTTTTTTGAATGATTGCAATGAAGACTGATACTTCTTTTTCATTTCAACACTGGTTTTTGAAACAAAATCAAGTCTTTTTTTATTTTTTTTACACCTCGGTGTTAAAACATATCTTTTGGATGAACGTGTAATAGTGTCACTAGGACTGGCTGTAGAAGTAGATGGAATTGGTGAAACAAAAGAACATAAATCAACAGGTAAAACGTTACTACCAGACAGGTCAGGTGTAGATGGTTCAATGGAAGCAGAAGTACTTGCAACTGGTGTCTCCTCTTCAGCAGGGGATGATGGTGCGACTTCAGTTAAAAGAAAATACTTTGTGAACTGTTCACTACAAACAAGTTCATACTTCGTTCGATCACTTTCCCGAGATAGGTTGGGGAATTTTTTAATTGTCTGATCAACCAATTGATTTATCTGCCATCGCTGAATGATGCATGGAATGCCCAACACAGATTTGACTTCACTAATTGTTCTTTCAGCATGT